TCAGGCTGCTCTCGGAACTCTGCCTGGGATGCACTGATGAGTGCCCTCCCGCTCGCCCGTTTGTGCTTTTGACCGGGCTTAAATGTAGGTGCTCCCTGAGGGTCTGCTCTGTTGGGCTTGCCTGTCGCTGGCTGGTCTCTCTTCTGTGGATCCCAGCCCCATCTCTTGGGTCCAGTCCTGACTTTTCTCTACAGTATCAGCCCCTCATTTTCAGCTTTGTTTTGACTCTTTTTCTTTTAGTAGCTCCCTGAAAAACTTATTTCTTGTCTTTTCGAGCACCCCAAATGGAACATGGCCATACGGAACTCACTGTTTTTCTCTTAGTGATCACTGTTCCTCTTATTTGTGCACTTTTTTTTTTAAATTTTATTTTTGTTATAGATGTTTTTCCTTTTTTATCCCATTGATACCCTCCTCCCGCCCCGTCCCTGGCTTTGTTGTCCATGTCCATTGGTTATGCATACATGCATATAAGTGCTGTGGTTTATCTTTTCCCACCCCCCACCACCTCCTCTTCTGAGGGTTGTCAGTGTCCATCAGTAGACGAATGGATAAAAAAGCAGTGGTACATATTTACAATAGCTAAGATCTGGAAACAGCTCAAGCGTCTATCAGTAGACGAATGGATAAAAAAGCAGTGGTACATATTTACAATAGCTAAGATCTGGAAACAGCTCAAGCGTCTATCAGTAGACGAATGGATAAAAAAGCAGTGGTACATATTTACAATAGCTAAGATCTGGAAACAGCTCAAGAAAGAAAGATCTCTTATCCTTTGAGACTACATGGAGGGACCTGGAAAGTATCATCCTAAGTGAAACAAGCCAAACAGAGAAAAACAAGTTTCATATGATCTCACTTATTTGTGGAATATAATGAACATAACAGTCTGAGGAATGGGGTAGTCCCAGAGACGTGGAAGTGGGGTACAGACTGACAATCCCCTAAAGAGGAGGGTGGTGGGGGAGAGATAAACCACAGATCATTTTTTTTTTATTTTATTTTTTTTATCCTCACCTGAGGATATTTTTCCATTTTTTTGTACAGATAGAATGGGAGGGAGAGAGAGGAAGGGAGAGAGAGAGAGAAACATCGATGTGAAAGGGACACATCGAGTGGCTGCCACCCGCACGACCAACCAGGGCCAGGGACAAACTGCAACCGAAGTACGTGCCCTTAGCGGGAACCGAACCCGGGTCTCTCCAGACCGCAGGCCGACGCTCTAACCGCTGAGCCAAACTGGTCAGGGCTAAACCACAGATCTTATATGCATGTGTGCATGAACAGTGGACATGGACAACAAACTGGGGAAAGGGCAGTGAAGGAGGGGGAGGGGGGAATCAGTGGGGGGAAAGGAGAAACATCTGTAACAAAAATTAATTAATAAAAAAAAAGCAGTGGTACATATACACAATGGAGCACTATGCAGCTGTAAGAAAGAAAGATCTCTTATCTTTTGAGACGACATAGAGGGACCTGGAAAGTATTATCCTAAGTGAAACAAGCCAAGCAGAAAAAGATAAATACCACACGATCTCACTTACATATGGAATATAATGAATAGAACAGTCTGAGGAATAGGGTAGACCTAGAAACACAGAAGTAGGGTACAGACCCATGATCACTGTTCCTCCTGATGCTAGTTCCCTTTCTCCAGACATCACCTGACTCCTTCCCTCGTACAGCCTCAGCACAGGGCAGGGCCAGGTCCCGCCCAGGTCCCGCCCCACCTTTTTAAGGCCTCATGGCGGTTTGCATCTCTGTGCTGACCGCCACTGTTTACTTCGGCCGCTCATTCCTCTTGCCCAATGTCATAGAAGCTTCACAGCAGGTCTTTGGATCGGTCCTGGTACAGCTACCTGATGAATCACTCTCGTGCTCCTAACCTTTCTGGTGTCTTCCCGTCACTCAGTCCAAGTCCCACGGCCATGGCCTGGCCTCCGTGGCTGTCCTCTGACCTGTGCCTCTCCTCTCCCTGCAGGACCTGTGTCCCCGGCGGGCCGGGGGAGGGTGCTTGCAGGTTCTGTGAGAACTTTGTTTCTCTCAAAGGCATCTGTATAAAAAACCTAAAGGGAAAGCAGATGTAAGAGCTAAAACTAGAAAACTCTTAGAGATAGGAATCTGAAAGTTACTCTTGTTAGAAGAAAATCCTCCCGTTTGTCACAGCTGCAGCAGAAAAGTGATCTCCCTCTCCTTTGCTCAGGCTGACTTCTGACTGAAAGGTACCTGTCCTCTGATTTTACATGGCTAAATCCTCTGTAATCCAGGTTTGTCACTGAGCCATCCCTGATTCCTCCAGCTCCCGGGTTTGGTCAAAGCTGCTGAGTCCTAGGCTGGGGGTTTCTCAGAGGCAGTGACAGGCCTCAGCTACAAGGAACAAAAACAGATACCGTCATGCTGGACACATGCGAGATGACTAATGAACATTTAAATGGATAAATGAGTGGAAGAGAAAAAAATTATACTTTCATTCTTACTTAACTGTAAATTGCTTAAGGGGAGGATTGGGGTCTGATTCTTCTTCATATCCCACAGTAGCCGCAGTTGTACATGATAGATACTCGGTAGATCCTCTGTTTTAGTTTTTACTTTTTCAGCTTTGTTGAGACATAATTGACAAATGCAATTGCAAGATATTTAAAGTGTACCTCGTGGTGATCTGGTGAATGTCTACATTGTGAAAGCATTCTCCCATCCGGCTGCGTCACATGTCACCTCTTGTATTTATATTCTCCTTTTTCTTTCTTTTTGGTGAGAACATTTAAGTTCTACTCTTAGCAAAGTTTTCAATAAATATTTCTTGAATCAGTACATAGAAAATAGTTGATTATGATATGAACTTTCTGAATGCTATATTACTATACTTTTAATCATTTTTTTTAATCCTCATTCGAGGATATTTTTTCATTTATCATCAGATAGACTGGAAGGAAGGGAGAAAGAGAATGAAACATCACCATGAGAGAGACACATCAATTAGTTGCCTCCCACAGGACCCCAACCAGGGCTGGGCACGAACTGCAGCTAAGGTACATGCCCTTCACTGGAATCGAACCCAGGGCTCTTTGGTCTGTGGGCCAACGCTCTAAACATTAAGCCAAACTGGCCAGGGCTACTTTTAATAATTTAATGTAGGGGCTCTTACTATAGCTAAAATATTTTCAAAATATGTTCCTCTCTTGGTTGTCACTGTTAATTTATTTTTTCAATTCTCACCCGAGGACACATTTCTATTGATTTGGGGGAGGGGGGAGAAGAGAGAGAGAAACATCGATGTGAAAGAGACACATCGAGTGGTTGCCACCCACACGACCCCAACCGGGGCTGGGGACAAACTGCAACCGAGGTACGTGCCCTTAGTGGGAACTGAACCCAGTGCTCTCTGGTCCACAGGCCGACGCTCTAACTGCTGAGCCAAACCAGCCAAGGCTCTACTGATTTTTAGAGAAAGAGTAAGGGAGAGGGGGGAAAAAAAGAGAGAGAGAGGGAGAAAGAGAGACAGACAGACACCTGCCCAGGGAATATTTTTGATCAGTGGTTATGTTTTATTTTAAACTTTTTCTGTGTTCCTAATTTTGACTTTAACATGCGGCATATCATGCATTCTTAATTTCACAGAGGAAGTTAGAAAAAGAAGGTTCACTTTTTAAGTAAAACAGCTTTTCTAGCCTGGCTTGTGTGGCTCAGTGGATTGAGTGTTGTCCCAGTGGACTGAGAGGTCCTGGTTCGATTCCCAGTCAGGGCACATGCCGGGGTTTCGGGCTCAGTCCCCGATGGGGTGGGGTGGGGGGGCATGCAGGAGGCCAGTGGATGTTTCTCTCTCACATTGATGTTTCTATCTATCTCTCTAAAAAAAGTCAATAAAAACATTTTTTTAAAGAGCTTTTCTGTGTCATAAGCTCCTGCCTTTGGGTGTAGGTGGGGTCCCAGGACAAGCCGTTATTCCTGCAGTAGTGGTTGAATAGTTCCTTTCGGAGTCATGGCTCCATCAGAGTCGCCTCGTTTGGATGCTCTCAGTAGGAAACAGAGTTGGGCAGCCTTTGTTATCTCTGCTGGGGCACCGAGGGCTTCCTGCAGCCCCAGCGGAGCTGTGCCGAGCTGCCTGCCTCTGGTGCATGCCAGGAGGCTAGCGCCGTGCTTTCATTTTATTATTTCCACCCCCCATTAGCCCCTCTGTGCCCCCCCATCCGCCTCACCTCCCACTGGGCTTTTTTTCCCCCTGTGGTGAAGGCTGCTTGCCAGTCTTCTGACAACCTTTCACTGTATAATACTTGATTAGGATCAGTTAATTAATAGTCTTAGCTTGTGGTCATGTTACGTGGTACAAGCCTAAATAGGAGTGGAATGAATGGAACTGCCTGTCAAATATTTGCCATCCCGGGTGCCTCTGTGACCCCGGCTGCCTGAGGGTTCACGGCTGCTGCTGGTCTTGGCGGTGTCGTATTATGTTCTGTGTCTTGTCTCTTTTATAAGCAGTTGACAGGCATTCCCTTGGTTCGGACGATGTGGTGGGAAAGATAAGCGATGCTCATGGCCTGTGAGAGGCCGCGGTCCCAACCCACATAACGAGTGAGTTCCACGAGGCCCTGGGTTGTCCAGTTGCCTGCATTGGACAGTGGGTACCTACAGGACGGGGAGTAGGGTCAGGAAAAGAAGGTCAGAAGATGGAAGGAAACAAGTTTACTTTTAGAAACTGCTACAAACTTACTGGAAGCAAGAGAATTTCTCCCGTGTGTTAGAAGAAGAATCCAGGCCCACTGACATGGGCAAAACACACGACAGACTCCCCCTTTTATGAAGTGTGAGGGCATTGTGTACCCACACGCCCCAGAGGCACTGGCTCCTTTAACATGAGCCAGGTACTGGCCATGACGAGCTGTCTGAGACATGCCGGGCTCCCTACAGCATCGCGTTTGAGCAGCGGCGTAAATCCGTCAGCTGTGCTGCCGTCCTGGCTTGGCCGAAGGAATTAACTTTGTGTGCATTTTTGTCTCCTGCAGAAATGGACGCACCTGAGCATGCTCGATGCCTGTGAGCCCCCCGATCACCTCACGACTTGGCAAAGACCCGAAGAAGGAAGGTGCCGGAGTGGTGGCCTCTGAGAACAAGTGTCTTCGCCTTGGCCTTGGCCTTGACCTTGCTGCCCCCGGTCCACGATGGAGACGCTCTCCCAGGATTCTTTGCTGGAATGTCAGATCTGTTTCAATTATTACAGCCCCCGGCGCAGACCCAAGCTGCTGGATTGCAAACACACCTGCTGCTCGGTGTGCCTTCAGCAGATGAGGACGAGCCAAAAGGACGTGAGGTGCCCTTGGTGCCGGGGCATCACCAAGCTGCCTCCGGGCTTCTCGGTGGCGCAGCTCCCCGACGACCCCGAGGTCCTCGCTGTCATTGCCATCCCGCACACCTCCGAGCACACCCCGGTCTTCATCAAACTTCCCAGCAATGGGTGCTACATGCTGCCCCTACCCATCTCCAAGGAGCGAGCACTGCTGCCCGGAGACATGGGCTGCCGCCTGCTGCCCGGGAGCCAGCAGAAGTCTGTCACCGTGGTGACCATCCCCGCAGAGCAGCAGCCTCTGCAAGGAGGGGCTCCCCAGGAGGTGGCGGAGGAGGAGCCAGACAGGCGGGGCGTGGTGAAGAGCTCCACCTGGTCCGGGGTGTGCACTGTGATCTTGGTGGCCTGTGTCCTGGTCTTTCTTCTGGGCATCGTGCTCCACAACATGTCTTGCATTTCTAAGCGCTTCACTGTGATCTCCTGCGGCTGAAAGGGCTGCAGGGATGTCTCTGGTGGGTGCCAACTAGGGGTTGAGCAGGTGTTGGTGATGGGACCGAGAGGAGAAGATGGGGGTGACGCTGATCATTTGGTGCCAAGCGCTGGCCTCTGGGCTGCCACTTGATGAACCCAAGACAAACACGAGGGGCAGAGTGGAAGGTCTCAATGGGACGCCGGGCGGATCGCCCTGAGCGGCGCTGGCAGCAGCTTCGAAGACAATTGCATGCGTCCTCATAGTCATTTATTAAACGGACTGTAATCTGTGGTTTCTCCAAGTCACGTGCCGGGACAGACCTAGGCTCCTTAGATGTTGAACCGTGCAAGTGCGTCCAGTGTGAGCTCTAGATGCGGTAGATTTAAACAGATGCACGTAGCATCCCGCCTGCGGATCCGTGGCAAGTTCAGCGACGGCACACAGTGCTGCTTTCTTTCCTTTTGCAAATGAAACCCAGTCTTCACTTGGTTCTTACACTTTCCGAATGGCACCCGAATTGAAAAATGCGTAGAGCGGACCGTTGCTTTCTGAAGAAAATATTTGAGCAAGTGTTTCCGATGTGCTGTGTCTTGTTTGTGGTGTCCCTTCGCTTCCTTCCCCCGTAGTTAGAGCTTGATGCGTGCTTACTCAGTGCAAAGCCCAGCGGGGGAGCAGCGACTGAGCGATGAGGAGAAACGCCTAATCCCACCGGAAAACTAGATGCCAATTTTTCTCAAGCCATCTCACAAAATAAGAATTTTAGATGTAAATATTGTATATTTGTATCTGTGTGTGAGTGATTTGATTTACCTCAGGTTTTGCATCTCTTCAGAAGAATCCTGGTAGGAAGAGTCCCGGGTCCGAAACAGCGGCCACCTCCTGGGCCCCGGGACCCACCCCGTGGGGAGCCACACACTCGCCACGTCCAGTACTTGCTCCTCTCCTGTGCATTCAAGCCCTTGTCCCGTGAGGCACAGGTGGAGGGGATCAGATCCTCCGTCGTCTTTCCCAGTGTGGGGATGTGCTAATAGTCTGCGGCGATAAGCAATGACAGACCCGGACTGGCGTTTTAGTAGACAGTCCACGATGATTTTTGAAAGAGATTGTTCCGTGATAGTTAAACCGTTCAGAATTCCAGTTTCCTCTTGTTGTGTAAGTAAGAATATCTCTTGTATTTTGAAATGTTTTTATTGAGAACAGGGGCAAGGTAAACCGACATGCTCAATGTAAATGGACCAGTTCCTCCTAAATTCTCAGATGCTCTTACATGTGTCACGGTCTGCGGAGGCTCACGGAGCCTGAGGACGCACGCCTGTGCCTGCATGTAGAAGTAGCTGGGGGCTTTCCAGTTCTCTTCGAACTTCTTCCGCGGCATTCCCAAAGCAAGTGCATGTGGCAAGGACTCCGCTCAGAAATACATACGTTTATGTTCCACTGAGTCCATGAAAATAGGGGAGAGAGGGGGAAACAGTGACTGGTTCCAAAAACAAAGCTAGAAATAACCCTGTAAGAAGGAGACAATTTAATTTACTTCTATGCTAACTATTATCTTCAAGCAGCACAAATATGCACATCGAAGTGGTGGAAATTATGGGATCGAGAATGACAATACAATGACTAGAACCCAAAGCTAACACTGTTCATTGGTTTGAGGATTTGATATAAAAAATACAAACTCGGGCTTTTCAAATCTTAGGAAGTGTATTTGAAAGCTCAAACTAGAAATTAGGTTAAAATGCCATTTTCTTGTGTAAGCTATTGGGCATCATGCAACAAATCTAGGATTTGTTTGGTATTAACAATTTAGGTATGTTAGCTGAATGCGATCCTCTGTTATGTAACACAATATACTGTTGGGTTAGTGTCAATTTCTCAAATTCAACCAGGCTGCTGTAATGCATGTCTGACCCAATTTCTATTCCTCTTGGAAAAAAGGGAAAAAAACACCCACAGAAATGTTGCATTAAGAACACCACATTTCAAATGGACTTGACTCTCGCAATTTTAAGCCGTGCCAGTGAATTTTGTAAATGATAGCTACATACATTTATGTATAGTAAGAAATGACCAGCCGTGTAGTGTATAGTATTTGATAGACTTTTATGTGTTAGGTAGGTTATATACAGACACTAACATGTATGACAGTACAGTGCCCTGTGTTTCTTAGTGTAAAAATATTGAGTAAAAACATTCACGCAACTTTTACTTAAAAACAGTCCGATGCTAGAGCTGCAGTTGAACAGTGCAGAATTAATCAGCTCCACGATAGATTCGTGACTTTACAGCCTAGTGTAACAATAACTACCCACATCAGAATTTTCTATGTGAGTCTTACTGACATGAGAAACACTGTTTGAATTCTACTTACAGTTCATTGTGCACCAGTTTGTTAGGGTGTGTGTGTGTGTGTGTGTGTGTGTGTGTGAGAGAGAGAGAGAGAGAGAGTCTCAGCCAGAGAGAGAGAGAGAGAGTCTCAGCCTGCCAGATAGAATTTGTATAGGCTTGATGTTTCAATGGTATTTGGCATCTCGTTGCTCTGGCCTCTCCTGGCATTAGCCCATAACACTAAAAACTCATCTACCATGTGACCAAAGTTCAGTGGCACAATTGGCCAGAATCTACAGTTGCACATCCGTGAAAAAAATCACAACTGAAAGCACAGAAAGTTAGAGCTGCAAGCAGCCTCTGGGGGCTTCGTTTTGTGGACGAGTCCGTCGAGGCAGGCCCACGGGGCTGCTGGCAGCTCGGCCTTCTGCAGCCAGAGGGAGACCAGAACTCCGCGCCGCAGGTTCCTCTTCTCCTTCCTCCGCCCGTCGACATCCCTCTTGGGCTAATGTGATCTTCAGGGTGGATGAATACCCTGTACAACTCAACTCTTGCTTTAAAGTGTTTTTTCTTTTGTAGATTTCTATGTTCATTTTCGTTAGCATCTACCTCTCCAGGAAATGAAAGGAGGGCTGATTTAGGGATGAGTATAGACATTTAGAGGAAACCATGGGACTTGAAATGTTTAAATTGCAGACCATTGGTCTCCCCTTCTCCCCGTCTGTGTCAAGGACAATGAGTGTTGTGTAAATAGTAAACTATAAGAAGCATGAATTCTCACCTTTATTAATGATCTTGACATAAGCCAGAGAATGCTCAATATTTTAGGTAGAGCCAAGTAGGCTATCAAAAAGCATCGTCTTTGGAACATTTTTGTACAATGACCTGGGGCATAAGTTGTGATGAAAAGACAGATTAGTTCTCAATTCCAGTCATACTTTATGATCAGAAAGCTTTAAGGTATTTTCTTTAAATATACAATTAAGTTTAATCTTGCACACAACTGAAGAGTGGATCCCTTGAAGGTTGGACTGAGGGGGATGCAGCCCCTGGGATCTTTTAGGTTTCACTGTTCAATAGAACTTCCTGTAACGATGGAAATGTTCTATAGCCTGTGCGGTCCAGTACGGTAGTCACTGGCCACATTGGTTGTTGGGCAGTTCAAACGGGGTTAGTTTGCCCGAGTTACTGGATTTTGTGTTTTGTTATTTAATGCTAAGTTATTTAAAGGTAGTCATTCGTGTGGTAGTGGCGAACTCATTGGACAGCACATTCTGGATGGTCTGTAGCATTAGTGTTAGGAAGAACAGAGTAAGGCTGAGACAGTCTGTGGTTTAGTATTAACATGCAGTTGGCCAAAAAAACCCTTTCTGGGCTTGAAAAGTATGCGATCTCAAGGACGATGGTAACAATTCATTGATTGCCCTTTAGGGTTATTACTTAGATACTTCTTTCTGGTCAAGGAAGGATCCGTGAAGCTGAGAGTGCTTTATGAAGCCCCTTTTCTGGGATCTCTAGCTGCATGTGAATCTATTGTCCAAACGTAGTGGTTAGACAGTAGCTGTGAAACGTCCCACTTGCAAGCTGTGCATGACCCGTGACTGTGAATGTGTGTGCAGGGCCTTGTGGCCAAAAAGTAAATGTTACAGAAAAAAAAAAAAAAAAAAAAGCCTGATGCATCCCTCTTGCGTCCAGCACCTCACCCAGACTGCCCTGCTGCGACAGTGCGGTGCGGTGGGCGCGAGCTTGCTTGCGGCTCAGAGAGAGTGCTGGTTTGCCCTTGAAGTCTACGTTTGTCGCTAGATGTGATGTGGGCATATGTGGGCGTCATTTTTCATTTGCCAGACTAAAACATAGGCACCATTTTTCATTTCTAGAGTCAGATATGACATTGTTTTAGTTTTGTTTGATTTTATTTTTCTTTATTGATTTTAGAGAGAGAGGAAGGGAGAGGGAGAGAGAGAGAGAGAGATATTGATGAAAGAGAACATCGATTGGCTGCCTCCTGCATGGGGATCAGGCCCACAACCTGGGCATGTGCCCTGACCGAGAATTGAACTGGCGACTTCTTGGTGCACGGGTTGACGCTCAACCACTGAGCCACACCGGCCAGGCTTGTTTGATTTTTTAAAGAATTTTCATTATCACTGAAAGAATTGAAGATTTGCAGCCTGGCACAAAGACACTTTTTTAAAATTATTATTAAACATTAAAAACATTGCCCTTGGAAGTGACTAAAATTGCTTTTTAAGTGAGTAAATGGAAGTAGAAAATTTAGTTATATGTGTATATATAATTTAGTTATATATATATATATATAATTTAGTTTAATATATATTCGTAGAAAGATCAGATTCCTCCTGATAGTTCAGTATTTATTCTGGTCTAGATTTTGATTGAAAAAGTTCCCATGGCTTTATTTGAAAACCCATGTTGTGTCAAAATGGATTAGTCTGCTTTTCATTGTTTCCAAATAGAATGTAAACCAAACGTATTTGCTTCCGTTGAGCAGGATTGAGGTGGTGGTTTTCCCTCCAGAAATGATCAGTGGGCATTGACTGTTCTTTTTTAGCTTGTTTTTTAAAACTACTAAAAATTGTTGGGGGGGGGGCAAAATGATAGTTTTTCTTTAGACTTACAAGAAGTTAGAGGCCCAGAGGTTACTGGTATGAGAGGAGTAATATGCAAAGGATTTGGATGTCTGCCTCCTCGGAGCAAAGATGCTGCTGCTGACCGGTCAGCATTTTGTTTCCACACGAGACCAGGCTTCAGTCTGTTGTACTGTCATCCTTGGCCTGGAAGAAAGGAGTCGTTCCTTAGCATTTCCGTCAGTCTCAGTAAGATAGCACCCCCAAAATAATCCTCACCAAAACAACTCCAGAGAATGAGACAGTCGCAGTAATTCAGTAACTATTTTGAAAATAGTCTATGTTTCAAAAGTGACAATGGTCAATGGCTGAATTTTGTTGAACATGAAACACTTCTTAAAAATAAGTGGATATTCAAGCCATCGGTTTTTCTGACAATTGTTTCCCATATAAGTATAGATATATACGTAGATACATGATTTAGCAGTAATACGAGTTAAAAAAATCAAGTAAAAAATGTCATGTTTTCCAATTTGTGGGTTATATAAAGTTGAATTTAGATGTTAATATCTTAACAAATTATATTGGCTGCATACATTGTGTCAAACCATCTAATTTTGTGAATGTCTATAAATGTCTATATAAGTAAACTCTTGAGACTTTATGAATCTGTGAAGGGGTGGGTTCTGCATACATGTTCTTGGAAAGCTATTGATGATTGAAGAACATGAGCAGGTGGGATATTTCATTTCTTTCTTCCAAAAATGGCTTCCCGTTTGGCTTTGCTTGAGTGGTCATGGGTAGAACACCATTTTTCCTGAACTCTTAGTCTATGGCTCTGATTTTTCTGCACAGGTTCCCTTGCACAATCGAGCCAATGATTTTTATTTTCAGGATTCACTGCCTGGGATATCCCACTATGTATATTTCTCTTATGGTGTAGTGGTGCTTGAAATTACTCATCTCGTTAGCTAGACTTTATTATTCTAGTCTAAAGTTTTTGATACTATTCATATTACGATCTTTTTAGGGACAATCAGTAATATTTGTGGCAAAGTACTGAGGGGGTCTCTTAGAGTCTGCAACAGCATGTATTATCTTTGTTTTTCTGGGGGTGTTTTCTGTAGCTGTTTCTGTTCTAGAACACCGCTCTAAACTCACTGCTGCAGGAGGTAGGGCCAGCAGCCCATGTGAAAGTCTTCTGAGATCTCTGTGGGGTGTGACTCACTGGGCTGTTCCAACAGGAGTTTTCTAAAGGTATGCTCAGCTTTTTGACATTGGCTTTTTGAGAATCCAGAAGAGGGTTGGATATGATGGCGGCGAAGGAGCCGGGGCTGTAAGAGGAAGGAAACAGATGAGGCAAATGCAAATACCCCTGAAAGGGGAGTGAGTCGCACTGATGTCATCTCTGTTTACATTGTAGGAGGGTGGATTAGCTGGTATCACACTTACACTTGCTTCAGAGAATTCCTGTTTGGGTTTTCCCGACTGAGGGGTAACCCAGTTATTAGGTACATCTCGTGTGGGAGAGATGGAGGTGTGACCTTGGGTCTACAGCGAAAGATGGACGGACGCGTCTGGAGAGTGAGAAGAGACTGGCATCAAAGGGAAGGGGATCCTTAATGGGATCATAGCAGCAACGGACTGTGTAGGAGCTGGAGGTCAGTCATGGCAGAAACCAGCTGAAGAAAGAAACATACTAGTAGGAATAATGGCCAAGCACAACGTATCATCCCAGCGTGGTCTCCCAGAAGCAATTCAGGATGTTTAGGGTGAAGACACGGGCTGTGCTCAGCTGCCAGGAGAGTCCAAGGAGGCCCCGCGGGTTCTCCGCTCCCTGGACCCTGGGCAACCTCAGAGCCTGCTCTAGAGTTAGTCGCTGGGTCACAGACAAACTCGAATCACTCACGTCTTAGCGGTGGACTGCAACGCCTGTACCTCTGGATGCGTCCTGACTTGAGCAGATTGACACGCTTGGGAAGACTCGAGAATATTTTGTGTTTGATCTGGTGGTTGTCATTTATTATATTTTTTCTTCCACTACTCCTTCCCATTTGCCTCACTTGACAGTTGCGGGTAGGAGGCTGGTTTCAGCCGGGGTGGCTCTGAGCTCCCACCATGAGCCGTGCAGCTGCTCCGTGAGGCTCCTGCCCCTGGGGCTGCACGGGTAGGTCCCGTGCCTCTTGGTAACTAATACTCCAGTCAAATGGCCAGATTAATGCTGCTCGGAGGCTGTTCACTCAAGTCCTTGACATGCTTCATTTACAATTACGTGGATTATTTATTTTAGGAGTTTTTCTTTTCAAGGGCTGAATCGCCCTACAGATAAATGAGCTGCTGGGCTGTGTAGAAAATATCGTCCAAATGTTGCCAAATATTGACTTCGTAAGGGGGACATCAAGCTGCTGTTTATAAATCTGAATGTCTTAAAAGCATTCTTGCTTGCTTTCTCTGTCGTAGATGATG